TATTGCTTGTTTGCCATCCAAGAGATACATTGCAGAAGTTAAATGCTGAGAAGTGTATACACCTTTTTAATAAGTCCCGAGGTATTGTGTTCTCCACACTTGACGTCAAATCTATTCTATTAAATTCCTTTTGTATTGTAAAAATTTCGGGACTTATTAAAAGGGTGTATCAGTATATAACAACTCCAAATTTCTGATGAAATGCAGTCACTAAGTATGCAATGAAACCCCAGTTTTTAGGTCCCAGCAACTCAACACACATACTTTTCTACATGATTAATACGACCGCTTTTCGGTGTCTCTTGGCGGCCGGATTAGCGAGGTTTCTCTGTATCTACCAAGAGTACAGTGAATTTATGTTTGTATTCTTAATTTGTTCATTATTTTTAGCATGTTAGCGTACGTAACATGATGAACACAGTTGATGAACAAGGATCAACCGCGTTACATTATGCAGCCCAGGGAGGCTTCTTAAAGGTAAGAGAAAATAATCTCTACTGGGTGTCAGGGATGCAAAAGTGTATCTGGAGAAATTTCATTCAATCCCTTTCTGTCAATACTTCCCTCCCTTTCTCACTCCCTCCCATTCTTCGTTCTTTCATCATTTTTTTCATTTTCAATCTCCCAGTCTTTGTATTTACTATTTTTCTGCCAAGCCAGTAAGAGCAGTGCTTGTATACCAAGATGTTCTTTTGTATTGTAGAATGTGTCTCTACTACAACAGCGCTGGACTCGCGACCGTGGATCTAACAAGTATTCCAACAGAGTACGCAACCACAATGGAGACCTGCCTCTGCACTTGGCTGCGAGGTAAAATCCTCTAGTTTGTCATGTTGTGTGTCATCTTTTGTCCTTGAGTTAGGATCAAATAGGAACAAAATATACACATTTGAAGACTTTGTATTTGGTTGATAGTTGCACCCACGAATGGTAATGGTACAACGAAAATACTATATCGTCATGTGTAGTTTTGCATCCATAAAGTAAAGCATTTCTAAAACGAAAGAGTTCTCGTCAGTTATTTAAAGGTTTGGTACGTTAATGCGTCCACCTTTGAGCTCAATGGAACTTTTATGATTCATCAATTATGCTCATGCGTGATTTCTAAGCCTATCCCACATGGACCTGTGATTTGATTCGTCTCTATAAATTAAAGACCCTCATTAGTCGATCTAGCTCACATAGACTCACAATTGTTTTTTTTATCGTCTCACAGGTATGGATGGATTGACGTTGCTAAGAAACTGCTCCAGTCACGTGACTTCCGTCAAATCGACATCGCCAATGACCATGAGAAAACACCTTTGCATTGCGCAGCTGAGGAAGGTCATAGTAACATGGTAGCTGTACTGCTGGACCACCAGGCCAGTGTAACTAAGTAAGGAACACTTATTATAGCTTAGCCCGGATCTTTGGGCTTCCTGTGCCTGTACTTTTTGCGAAACAGGAATCCCAACAGGGCGGTAGTGAATACCCAGGCAGCAAAGTACCTTTTTGTCGTTCTTTTCATTCTTTATTTTTTTTTCTTTCATTCTTTCATTTTTTCCTCTCCTATTCTCT